TGGTGCCTTGACAAGAAACCACAGAAAATATTGAAAAAAATACAATATAAATATTAAAAAGATTAAGAAATATTAACAATATTAATGTTTTTAATTAAAGAATTCGGAACAGATGCTCAAAAATATAGTATTTAATTACTTTGTATCACTTCCTTGTCATCTACTTTTCTCTTGTATAACCCTGACTAAGGTTTTTAGTTCTACCTTGTAATGTTTTATTAATGTAAAATATGAAGTGTTTTTTGGTGTAATTTACTCATTTGAATTGCGTTTTTATTATTTTTAACTGCCTACTCTGTTCACTTATACAAAAATATATATATACTATCATATTACATTAAAAATATAATATTGCATTATATTACTCACGATATACTTTGTATTTGACAGGTTTAAGTGCACCTTTACAGGCGGACCTTACCTCGGCTGGTGTTAGATGAAGGAATGTCAGTCCCTATAACTTCTTGGTACAAAAAAACAAAAGGAAAGTAGATTCAAAGTGCTTTAAAGTCCAGAAAACGTGTAAAATAGGGAGTTATTTAGTTTTAAACTGCGTGTTTGTGTCGCTTCTGACCGCAGCTCCGTCTCTGAGGCTATAATCTCAGCTGTCAATCACTCTGCTGCTACTGCTATGCAACGACAAGACTCCGCCCACCGGTACAGGAAGTCACGCCCCCTTTGTTTACACTGTATTTAATGCTGTGTAAACACACCATTAACCCACTTTTTACAGTTTATGTGCACATATTTATAGCCTGTATTAGTATTTTCTTCATTCAAAATACACACAGGGATGTTGTGTCCACTTTGCACAAAACACATGGCCTTCAGACAATAAGTTAATTAAAAAAAAGACAAAGTAATGAGAAATAATCGATAATAAGTTAAGTAAATAGATCAAATGGACCGGGTTTTTTTGTGTCAATCATATTGTTCAATGCATTATTATTTTACAGCTTAAGGACTTTTATAAAGGAAATAATAAACTTATAATGTAATATGTGTATTTACAATTTAAAATACAGTGATGTAAAACAGTTACAAGTAGAGGTTGCAAAGTTTAAGATCAAGTTGCTAAAATGTAAATTAATATTTAAATGTCAGTGCCGGTATTTTGTTCCCTTACCACCTGCTACTGACTGCATACAGGTGCCAGTGCTACACTCTGCTGGACACATAGTGAAACTGCACCTGATTTAGATATTTAAACCATGGACTTTATATATAAATGGACGTAGTGTCCGTGACGTCACCCATAGGATTCTGCAGAGTTGCCGAGAAGCCTAAAGTAGGCGGTGTCGGCAACTAACGGCTCGACAGTGACGTCAGAGTCTAACTCCCGCCTGCTCCAGCCTGATCCAAATAGAGAGGCAAAGTCCCTCCCTTTCCGGTGGACATCATGGGACCTTATTTCGGAAAAATTATGTATTGATGTCAATGGCAAGAGAAAACGTATCTTTCGATCCCGTTTGAATTGTGCCATGAATGACACATATGATGTTTTTCAATCTTAAAAAATCATTTCCATGTCAAAAAAGTTTGTCGTAAAACTGTTGAAACAATTCCAAAGACAAAATCAACTAAATGTATTTAAAGACCAATCTTTATTTGAATGTGCCTCTTAACCTGAGATATTAGTTATACAGTAATAGTATTGACAATCTAAAAAAACTGAGCAACTCAACGGTTAACTTTATATTTCTTATTGTCTAAAGCATTTATTATTTTCATTTTTCCCCTCTCATATTCAGTGTGGAGTGTGGACGGATTGAGACAGCGTGGTGTCCAGAGAGCTGCAGAGACTTCAGGGAGAAACCTCCGTGTGATGGACGTCCTGTCTGTTGGTTTGGCCGGAGAGGACTGAGGGTCTTTCCTCTGTGAGGAGGACCAGGCCTGATGGAGGAGCCCATGCATAGCTGATACCAACTGCACAGGCCTAGTCTGTCACTTTATTTGACTAAATGTGTTTACTTATACATTTAATAGGTTTACACTTTCTGTCCATATGTGCTTTTTATTTAAAACATGTTTGATTCACTTTTGGTTCACATTTCAATAAATTGAATTTGTATTTGCACTCCTTTTGTCCATTATTCTTACTGAAAATGTTAGATTACACATTCACATCTGATTGAAGATTGGCCCCATTTATTTGTGACGTTGCAAACTCTGCGGTACAAGGCACAGGTGATGTGAAGCTCATAAAGTGAGGCAAATAGAAATAATCAGCTGATGGAGTGTAGATGTGGAAATAGGTGCATTCGATCAGCTGACTGTGTTTTTCGCCACACTTTATAACACTACAGATGGAGCATCTTATTTAAGACTCCAGCTTACTGCTTCCTGCCTACTACCTGCCAGTTACCTGCCAGTTACCTGCCAAAGACCAGTATCTGGGAATGTTAAGCCCTCCCACTATTTTCCAAGAGGGCGTTGCCAGATTTTCAATTTCAGGATTTAACCAGGAGATGGCGCTTCCTTCACAAAAACAGGAAGACAACTTTTCATGGACTTTCAGTTTTGTTTAGAAGAGCATTTGAACACATCAATATTTTAGATCAAATAAAGTATATCTAATCTTGTAATTCAATAATATATAGTCTTTATATATTAAATAACTATGGCCAAACTAAGACTTAGTTTTTCATAAGAGAAAATGCAGATATTATATAAAAAACTAAAGTTAAAATCTTGTTTTTAATGCCCCAAGAGCAATAAAAACACTTGGTAAAAAAATACAAGCTGTAAAAATACTTATATATATTTAATACTAATAACATAATGATTAATTTCAGATGATAATACTTTTCAGTGTCTGTGGCATGCAGCAGCTGACCCGGCCGACAGTAAAAATAAACATTTATAACTAGTTTAGGTTGTTTGAGAGGTAATTAAAATAGCTAAGGGTGATGATCTGACTTGAAGTGTGTTTTTGCTCCTAATTAAATGTGTACAAGATGTGAAGTCAACAGGTATAGGAAAATATTCCTAAAACGTCCAAATAGTCACAGCAGGGATTTGCCACTGTGCCACTACAGTTGATCTGTGTGTCTACAAAGAAAGCTTTTCATTTGCTAGATGCTGATGTAGCTATTTGGATTACTTTTGAAGATGCAGTTGGGAATATTTCCTCAACCCTGCTTTGTTATTTTCAGAAAAGTGAAACTTAAATAGGCCTATAAAATGATAGAATTTAAAAGAGTCTTGAAAAAGCATGGTGATGGCAATAAATGCATTAATGAATCCCCAAAATCTACAGAATACATTTAATTTAAGGGGAGCAGTTACTGAGAAGTATATAATGAGAACTGCTACCAATGGTGGCCTATTTAGTTTATTAAGAAATACATTTTTTTTTAATTTTTTTATCTGTAGTGGGAAATGGAGCGGACCTGCAGAGAGTAGCGACAGAGAAGGGCTGGTCCAACCTGATCTGTAAAGTGATCTAACTAAGTTCTATTCATATTCTTGATGGGAAGTGCAGTGTAAATGGGGGGCCTATATGCATTTAAAAAGCAATATAAATCACACAGTTAGTATACAATAGGCTTTAAAAGCACCATCGATAACCATTGCCCTTCTCCTATTCCAACCAAAAGAGAAAATGCAGATATTACACTCTGAAAAGAAAGGGTAGACATATCTGTACTCTTAGTGCCAAGTAGCTAAGCTATTAATTCGCAGAAACGTCAGTTTAAAAGCTGTTTTATTGTGAAAAACCCGGAAGTTCTCATAAAATCTCAATGCCAAGCTTTTATTCTGAAAATCCTTCATATCCGGTTAGTATTGACAAGCAGGTGGCTAATATTACGTTTTCTGAATGTGAAGTAAAAATGACACAGAATGTTGCACACCAAAACCTACTGACTTTAACATTACATCTATAGACGTCGAGATATTATTACTGATTAATATTAAATGAAGGTACCGTTGATCGTAAAGTGTTTTCACATACGTGGGTAGCTATGACGTCAGAAGGAGTTACCGTAAATGAGAGCTGCCGTAAAAGTGTTTCTAGGATTTCTAAACGAACTATTACAGCTGTTATAAAGCATTAAATAAAAAGTCATGAAAGAGATAAGGAGCAGAAAAGGTTTAAGGAAGTAAGCAAGGAATACAGAATGTCGAAATCCTCTGTTTCACGCGATGTCGAACGTTGAAGACAGAGGACGGTGGTCCCCCAATCTACACAGCGGGAGAAAGAAGATCATAAAGCTGATCGGAGGAGACATCACGATCTTTCCCACATTAGTGCAATTCACCTATACTTAACCCCAAATAAAAGAACCCAATAAAAACAGTTGTTAAATACTAGTGAAGTCACGTTGTAATAATAACTCATCTCTCGGTTTGAGTGTTCTTTTTCTGCTTTCCCAAAAGCCACTGTGTCAAGTGTCTAGTGACTATTTCTCTTAGCGGATGCATGTCAATTTAAATCAATACATACAACTATTTTTTAAATCAATAAAAACATTTTCTAAATCCATAAAAGCATTTCAATTAAGATTAGGAGTCATGTCGTTACTTTGTTGAGAATGTGGCCATGTAATAAGCGGGATAATTTGCAGCGACTTGGTCATTGTGGGGAAAAATAACACCCAGGGTCCTGATCGTTTTAATGAAGTTGAATACAGAATATTCATATTTGTCAGTGATTTCATGTCAATTCGGCGAACATAAACATAAATGATCTTGGTGAAGATGATGATTAAATTAGGATTAAAAATCGGGAGAGCCGGCTGCATTTCCTCTCGTTCGTTTTTTTCGACTAAACAACATTATTTTGTTAAATAACAACATGGTGATGTTTTGTAAATGATTACGTGTCTTATTTAGCACAGACTATGATCCTATCCGTGACATATGGATCTTAACAAAGATCCGCTATACATTAGTACCAGACATACTGTACATCCAGCTTACTGTATCGAAGTTGATTTCACATGAGCTCCAGTGTGGAACCCCACTGCACCCCCTGGTGGATCAATGATCCATTGCAGCTGGCTTCACAATAATTAAATGTATTTATCACGGGGGCGGTATCAAGTCAGACTGGGGGCCGGCTCTTCATCACGAACCGATCACGGGCCGATCACGGACCGTGCACGAGCCAATCACGACCCTCGCGTTTCAAACTGTCGGAAATAAGATGCTCCATCTGTATAACCACACGCAGCGTCACAAACAAATGATGGTCCTGATAGACTACAAAAATATTCGGTGTGCAGATCTTTGTGTTCACAATAAAAGTGTAGTTTATTAGTGAATGTCCTGTACTGGTCTTAAAATCTCATAACATCAGCTTTTAATTTTCCTTTTAGATGTTCTTCTTGACCCTCAGAGAACGAGAAAATGTTGAGTCGTGTCTTTCAGGCATGTCCTTTCCTGACAAAAATTACAGGAAATATAAAACATATTATTGCAGAACAAGTGTGTTATTTATGAAAGAGGTGTGTTTGTGTTTTTAGGGGCTGTAGATATAATTATTTTGTAATTGTAATGTTTTTTTGTATTTCAACAGTGAGCTACAAAGACAATAAGATTATTACAGAGCCCCCTGGGGGACATGGAGAAGAAAAAAT